TCCTTTAAAGGTGTCGCATAACGTACTCACCACAACTTTATCATTTCTATTAAGGGTTAAGGAAAGTGCTTAGCACCTTTTGTCGTTTTAAATGAATATGAAGAAGTTATTAGAGTATGTATATTAACGGTAAATATACGTTATTCAACAGACTATTTATTCTACGAAGAAGAACAAACGGAAAATGCATTAGTTGTTTTGCGAACACGAGAAAAAATTAACTGATACAACAATTTAACACAGTTGGTGTAACAAACATACAATTATCAATTGTTTTTTTTATTGTTTTTTAAACTCGCAAATAAGACAATTGTATCATAACCTTGCTAATAATTTTACATAATTACTTTTATGTGTTTAAACTGATGTTGTATTGGATCTTCTTGAGGTTATTTTACAGGTGAATAAAGAACATCACTATTGGGTTTCACCAAGCTTTCGGCGAATGTTCCGCCATCATCAGGGCCTAATTTATTAAAAAAACAAAATTTACATGAACAGAGTTACATAACAGATCTTATATAAATACATTACAAAAATAAAATTACGTACTTAACCCAGTTGTTAGGAAAATTCAATTTATTGCACATGTTTGTTGTTTTTTTGAAGTGAAGCTGAAAATGAATCTATATACTAAAAAACAATAACCGTCTTGCTTAAAGTCCAGTGACCCTCATCGGTCATCCTTTGATTTCATTTTTTCATAAGTTAACACTAAATCTCAAGTACATGTATTTCTTTATCACAGATACGTTATATATACACAACGTTTTTACTGTTTTTTAACTTAAAATTATAATTTAACTAGATACAACTATGTACAAGGATTCGAATTGAGAGCACACATCGGATGGTTATAACATGGTAAGGGTGTGATTAGACATACCAACGTCACTTTGCGCTTTATTTAGATTCATGAACAGTTGCAGGATTCCCGAATATGCCATGATGGAGCCCAGTCGATCCACTTGTAAATTACAAGTGTTTTTCGTAACATGAACAAAGACTTTTTCCAAAAGTAGTCGTCTCTCCAAGTTCAACTTTCTGCCGAGGATCCCAGGCTAATTTTAAGTTAAAAAACAGTAAAAAAGTTGTATATATATAACGTATCTGTAATAAAGAAATACATGTACCTGAGATTTAGTGTTAACTTATGAAAAAATGAAACCAAAGGATGACCGAGAGGATCACTCGACTTTAAGCAAGACGGTTTTTGTTTTTTAGTATATAGATTCATTTTCACCTTCTCGTCAAAAAACAACAAACATGTGCAATAAATTGAATTTTCCTAACAACTGGGTTAAGTACGTAATTTTATTTTTGTAATGTATTTATATAAGATGTGTTATGTAACTCTGTTCATGTAAATTTTGTTTTTTTAATAAATTAGGCCCTGATGATGGCGGAACTTTCGCCGAAAGCTTGGTGAAACCCAATAGTGATGTTCATTATTCACCTGTAAAATGACCTCAAGAAGATCCAATACAACATCAGTTTAAACTACGTAGGTCGATCAACGTCAACTAGAATTTTATGTTTTTCTTCCAATAAAAACAATTTTATGTTCGTAACTTTCATTATAAATAAAACGTTCTCTTCATGTATTTTCAAAAATAAATTACATTAATAGCCCGAAACGCGCGAGATTAGTGACGCGTTATTACGGGTAATAAAATAACTGTGTTATAATTCGAATAAGGAGAAAAGTATAGAAAAATAAACTCCCATATCCGGAGTATAACAAGCCAGCAACATGTAAGGCAAAAACTCAAATCCCTAAAGTGGGATTCGACCCGCACAGAGAGACACATATTAGAGTTAAGGAAAGTGGAAAATGGACGCGAAAATCGACAAATTGGAGCACTTGCTTGGAAAAAGAAACAGAACACTTCTAAAAACTAGACGCAAATTGATTTTAGTACAGTTTGTTGGAAACAAAGTTATATCACTTTTCTAATGTAAATTATTATTGCGTCAAAATGTCACGTAAGATGTGAAATAGTAAATATATAAAATAATATCGACGAATCTACCGTTTTAATACCACAAATTTGTAAATTGTTCTTGCCTGTAGGCTAGAAGTTACAATACTCACTTTTTTATTACTGCATCCCTGACCCTAAACAAATTTATACACAACAATAAAAATAGGTTCGATATTATACGTAATTCATAAACATATTATAATCCAAACGTACTCTTTTATATATATATATATATTTTTTTTTTTTTTTCATCCTTCCATACTTTTTTCATAAACCTTTTTCTACCTTCGTAAACATTATTCTTCTTCTTATATATTATTTTTATTATGAGATAAAAATGATTAATACGCAATTTTTATCAAAATTCAGCTAGTATTTATTTATACACTCCTAAATTTTTTTATAATGATTATTGTAATATAAAAACTGTTTTAATTATACTAAGGATGTATTTTTATTAGTGCATATATTTTTTTCCGCCGGTCAGCATCTATGGTTATTACCGGCACCTCGTACATATTAACTTTTCGCATTTTTAGGATGGGAGTAACCTCCATTTATTATCCCCTACTTTACTCCCTAAGCGTATTATTATCCATTTCCATTCTAAAAGTTTTTCTTCTTCTTGTCGGATGTAAATATTTATGACAGGGTGGATATCTATGTACTATATACCGAAACTCTATTGGCCTGCGACACACTGTTCTTAACCCGCTCCTTAGACACTGATCAATTTTTTTTTTTTTTAATTGGAAAACAACTTTCCCACAAATTTGGACGGTTAACGAGGAACTCAATATTTCGTCAGAAACATACCCCTATTCTAACGGCTAACCATCATAATATTGCATATTATGACCGACATCATTTATACAAACCTACAACAATAATTTACATTAAACATGCTCTCCATTCTCGTTGATAACTACATTGCTTCAATAAACACATTCAACCACTACGCACAGTCACACAGTGTACTGTACAAGTTTTAAAACAAATGACTGTTTTATACAGTGTGTGGTGTTTAGTGACCGTTAGTTAATGATTATTTGGAGATCGTGTGATGCGGTCTGGTGCCCTGTAGGTTTTAGAAAAACATTTTCCTTATCGTGCCAACGTTTCGAACTTTATTGAGATCATCTTCGGGCCTCAAAGTGTTTGTTTTCTGTGTAGATATGTCATTGTTGTGTGTCGTGTAGAGAGTGCCTGTGAGATATTGATGTTTTATGTCTATATACTGTGTACAACAATGACACATCTACACAGAAAACAAACATATTGAGCCCTGAAGATGATTTCTATAAAAATCGAAAAGTTGGCACGATAAGGGAAATGTTTTTCTAAAACCTAGTCACCAGACCACATCTCACGATCTCGAAATAGTCGTTTTATACAGTTTTAACTATAGCCGGTTCTAACTGTGCCACGATTCTTCTTCAGGTTTGAACTATGGTGTAAAACTTTGATAACTGATAAATAATTTTAAGTCGTATAGTGCCCTAATTAAATAATACCAATTGTATAAACAAAAATAACAAATAAATAACATAATATAAATATTATTGTTTTAATTAAAATTTTAATAGGCCGTCGGTGACCGCAACTGTTTAAGCGTTGACACGCTCAACGTAAGGTAAAGGTCCCGGGCTCGAATCCAGCGGCCCTACATTCGACCCCGACATACTCACAAATGGTTTGTTTTCCAAAAACACCGGCACCCCGAGGGTTGAGATAACCTCTGCTGTTGCGAATACTCGTAAAAGTATTAATTGATATTAATATTTGTTTCTAGTAATACAATAATTTATAGTATTAGATAAAATAATTTATTTTCAAAATGATTTTCAATTTTAATAATTTGGCCACAACTTTGAACTATTGAGAAGGAAAAAAATATAATGGGAATTGGGGGGTTGAGATGGGAAGTTGGTGTCCGAGTGGATCGAGGTCACGATAGCTCAAGTGGTACAGCAGCGGCGTATCAAGCCGAAGATCGTGGGTTCGAATCCCGCTCGTGCCATTGACTTTTTTATCTCAACTAAAAACTTAATGGTAATAAATTAATTGGTCAAGCGGACCACGAAATTAGTGAATTTAAAAAACTGTAATGTAACATCCGTATTTATGCCAATAAAAAATGAACATTGTAATTTACTTGTTTATTCTTTATTTGGCTGTTGGCAAGTTTGATTTAAATCTATTAAATGCTCGTTAATAAATGATTTTATAATAATTAATATATTTTATAATCAAATTGTAACAGTTTGTGATTATTTCTTTGAATTATAGAAACAACCACATTATTATTGGTTTGGTCATTTCCTATCATTGTGGACTGCCTAACCTTGACTGTATTGGTCCTTCATTCTTGGTTCGGCTTCTCGTCATGTACAGTGATGGGCTATAGGGTTTGTTTTTTCATTAATACAAAGTACCTTATAATCTTACGCGGTTGATATTTATGTTTTACTACACCACTGATGACGGCCGAAACGCTTATTTCAGATTAAATTATTCAAAATCAACCAAACTACATGCCAACACTCCCAGGCGCCAAGATAAAATCATAAAATTTTACTAGGTAAACAAAGCTTCAATATCAATATATAAATGAACAATAATTAATTTTATATCTAAGTTGTATAACTAAATTCTAAGTTCTTCTAAATGTTACAGTACATAAAATTCTTTAAAGTATTTTGTTTTAATGTTAAATAAATAGTTATTTTACATTATGAATAGTAAATAGAACGATGTATTTTTTAGTTGTGAGTTCTAATAGCTTTTGATCGCGCGAATTTACTGAAGAATATGATAACCACTTTTTGTTAAATTTTACAAGTTTATCGTTGTTAACTATTGATTCAGTCAAGCTGAGCTTTCATAGAGCGTAAAACGCTCATTCTGTAAGTGACCCACCTTTGTTCTGTATTTTCCAGCCCATAAAAGAATAAGCTATAGGTAATACATGAAAACCATAAAAGTAAAAGATTGGTACTTGCGTAAAATACGTACCTTTGTGACCATGGGCTGCATATGAGCCGCAGGACGAAAGAGACACCTGGTAACGCGATCTTTCCCGTCAGAGAGAACGGCCAACCGTCGCGTTCCTGAGATGGGGCTCCACTGAGCTTCCACCCGCATCCAGTTGCCATGGCATCCTAGTAGAGTGCGCACTCCGACACGGTTTTACTCTTACCCGGCTGGAAGGGGAAGTTCGATGAATTAATTCTCGTGTTATTTAATATTCTTACCACCTGTTTCGACCAAGTTTTAATTATAAGCATGAATTTTTCGAGTGGAGTTTTCCCACAGGATGTTTTCATGGATGCAGTAACGAGCTCAGGCCCATAACTTTTTCCTGTGCAACAAAACCAAAAGGTCAACTTGATATTTTCTTATAACGACTGTAATTAGTGTGGCCTGGTTATTACCCCTAACGAATTGAGATAACATACGAACCGTGAGAATATTTTACGTAATATTGAAGAGTAACAAAAATTAGCAATAAGCATGTAAAGTTTGAGTCGTACTTTTCACCCCTAAGTTTTTAATGATTTTCCAAAAATATCAGTTTTTTTAATAAAAAGTTTGCTTGGCACTTATTGTTGTCTGAATAGCAATTTTAAATGGAAAATTATTTTTAATATATTTAGTATTAGCTTTCTAATGCATAATTATATGTAATAATCTCTTTTCTAAATTTTCCCGAGTATGAGTTATAAGTCAATTGGAAAAAAATTGACCATTTAAACTTTACCTGGATATGTAAAGAGTTCAACTAAGATTAAACATTGCTATACTTTCCAGGTCAGTACAATATAACAACATTATAAGTGTTAAATGATGTAATAAATTCTCTTAAGGTGTATATTTTATAAGGAAAGTGGGTTTGTTACAAAATTGTTTAAGATGTTTCACACATGCAAGACTAATAATAATCAAGTAGTTAAAAAAAATCTTAAGGCATGCTACTTTATGTGCTTGAACTTTTAAACTACGTCTTATAAAGAATTACATAAATTGTTTGGATAAAGGAGGCAATCTATTGAGAAGTCATAAACATTTGAAGCTAATGGGATATCGAAAAACTCCATATGCAGTACCATTTGTGCTTAATCCACATCAACGTAGTAGAAACACAAGCGTATAAAACACCTTATTCTTTATTCTTACTATTTTTAATTCTAATATATGGATGTAATTATAATCTGTTGATACGGCTCATTCTGTCTTTCGTTGCTATTTCTAGTTTAAAATAGACTCGTCAATTATGGTTTTGGCCAAAACACAGGCCTACCCAGAGAGGATAGGAAGCGAAAGACGATGGGTCAGGATTACATTATCAATTTATGCTACGTAGCTTAAGTTTCATCTAACTAATTGCTTAAAAATCTTTAAAATTAAACTTTTTCCATAATTTTAACTTAGAAATCGATGCCAATTTGTTCTAAATACAAACTTTACTATCACTTAACAGACCTAGTAAATGTCACCGCCGTAGCCTTTACACTAGTTGACTACCTCGGCGGACAACTCCAAAGTCTTCCTCTTTACATTTCTCCTCTGACTCTAAAAACCATTATCCAAGAATTATCGGTGTTAGTTCTATATGAATCAAATTACAAGCTGAAATCTCCATAATGACCCATGACAAATGAAAAAATGGAACTTTGTTCGAACAAATTTCAAAGAAATAACACTTTATTCCTCCGTCAAGCTTTAAACAGAAAATCGTGAGATGCGGTCTGGTGTGAAGTAGGTTTAGAAAAACAATTTTTTATCGTGCCAACGTTTCGATCATTATTGAGATCATCTTCAGGGCCTGGGATTTGTAAATTTGTTTCAATTTTACCGGTTAATGTATAGAAACTTCTTCTGAGAATCTTAAAATTTATCTTTCCAATCGTAATGAATTAATGACTTTACCATAGTAGAATAGACGAGATTGACAACCGGTTCATTCTCTCGTCCATCAGGTTATCCTATCAAAAATGCAGCCTATATTCCAAATGATAAAACATGAGTTATGTTGGATCATATTTACATATTCATTTTAATTTGTTTTAAAGCAGGAATCCACAACCATTCCATCAAATCAAATTATTGAAGATTCGTGGCACCAACCTGTTCTCTTCAGTACCGTTTTATTTTTGAAATTTTTTCATACGATTCCAAAAATAAAATGAAACAGATGAGAGGTGCCTCGTGTCCCAGAATCGATGCCTTCAAAGAATGGATTTGGTGGAATGCTTGTGTGTTTTTTAAATTCCACCGTAAAATAAATGAATAACCTAGAGAGAAGAAGAGGAGTATACATATTTATTTTTCCTGTTAGATTAAAATTCTAGTACTTTTTAATAAGCCGTCTGCTTGTTTTAACTGGTACCATAACAAACTATGTTTTACGACAAAATACTTAGTTGGTTTGAAAATTTGAAATATTAAATCCCAGAGGAGCAAAAAACAGGTTGAGATGTCAACTCTCAAAACAGAAAGGTACAGGAAATTATAATATGTAATAAGCCAGATGAATGTAAATATATGAGGAAATGATGGAGAAAGAGTTTATTTAAAAAGAGTACAGTTTTCCTGAAATAGGACAATATGAAAATATCGTTTGTGAAAAATAAATATAACAATTATATTAGTTCAAGTTAATTAAACAGGGTATGCTTATTGTCATTGAAGTTATAGGCTAATAATAGTACATATAGATATCATATGTATATATATATATATATATATATATATATATATATATATATATATATATATATATATATATATGTATATATATATATATAACTACACAAATGCGCAAGCATTTTTCAATAAGGCATGCTAAAATATCTCAAATTAATTTATGCCATTTATGTCAATTGATCAATATACCTCAAGCTAAATCGAGTCTTATCAATCAGAATATCGTTTTGGATACGTTTATTTACGTTTGCTATGTTGACGTACATTTTTTATAGAAAGTCAATAGAGATCTATTTATTAAATTATGTTGTACATAAATTTTTCTTGACTTGTGATGAAAGGGAAGGGACATAAATCGATGGAGACGCGATAAACAAATGCCCCCCAACATGAATGATGACCTGGATGTTCATCTTAATCCGCCCAGACCCAGGCGGTCGCCGAGCAATACATCAAAACCCTGGCGGACATAATGGCTTCTTACTTGTTATGCTAAGTATGTTGATGCTTGAATTTTTTAAAATGCCTCCGTGGGCTTCTTATAAAATCGTGAGGTATTGAACATTAATGAACAATTTTTATTCATGAACTAAATAAATTTATAAAATACCTTTTGGCAGGTTATGTACGAATATTTATATTGAATAACTATATTTCAGTTGAAAAACTAGAGGTAATCTTGCAATGTTGTTGCAATGCCTATTGGCAATTGTACTCAACTTTTTTCATTCAGCCGTCTGAGAAATTCTGCATTTCATTGGAACATTCTGAACAATATGCTTTATAAGTATCTACATTATTACTATTTCCGAAAATAATATTTATCACCTAATTGAATGAGTTCGATTGTAGTGATAACGTTTCCTAGCCTTGAGAAGGAGGATGAAAAGAAACTTTGTTTGACAAACATGTAAAATTAGGGCTATATAACACTCTGTTTTTTGTATAATTTCAGCAAAGATTAAAGCGATTTTAATGTGATAACAATGTTAACAACAAGCTCTTCTAAAATAAAACTACGTGCATAAACCTTTCTGTAATTTACAACTTCAGAATAGAATTGTTCTCCTATTTCTGACATTTAGTAAGTTGCAATTGCTCCAGATTATGCCACTATTAATATTAATGTACGATCATCCCGAATAAATTTTATATTATTGTAGACACGAAATAAATATATATATGGTTAAATTAAAAAATCGGTCAACGTTTGTTCTATTCTCTCTCAAATTTATAAACCTTTTTTTAGAAAAAAATCTTTTTCTTTTTATATCACTGACATACAATTCAATTATTTTTTGTTTGAAGGAAGTTGTAATAGTTGGATTAGTAACCATTATTTTTTACTGATTGTTCTCTCATCCTCTCTTCTTTTCACATCAGTAGCCATAATAATTAAATCAATATATACGTTATCAATTTTGTTCGATATTTCCACCAATGTATTTGAAATTAACATAAACATAAAGTTAAAGTATCAACAAGTCAAATCGCAGCTTATTTTACATACAAAATTAATAATTAATATAACAAAATATATTGTCGTTTCATAGATTTATCCTATTCTCTGCTTCAACGAAATTTTTTGACATTCATTAAAAGTTTGGCTAATTTTGTTCTCCAGCTGGAATAGTGAAAATATTTGAGTTAGGGTTGGATTGTATTGATTACTGATCTATAGAAGCTCAAATCTGCACATGGATATACATGCATACAGAGTTGAATTCGTCATGTCCCCTTGTTTTAGCCCTCGGTTTTATCAAAAGCTAGGTCATTTATTCGCCTTTAGTCGCCTCCAGCGTAGTCAGTCTCCCTTTCACACCATCACTCACTCTTAAACACATCTTTCGAATTTACATGTCATACATTCAGTTAACGTGGTGGAATATTTAATATTTCTCCATCATACTATACACCTATTTTATAACTAACCTCGTGCGTACTTAATATTTTGACATTAACTTAATATTCAACTTTGCATTCTCACCCATAAATACATTCACACTTAACACACGCTCAAAACTTAATATTATTAGTTAGTCATCAATCAGTTATATTATATACAATATTATAACCCAGTTTCTTCCAAAAATCAGAATGGTGGATGTAGGTACACGGTGCTTCTCCGCAATTCTTATATTGGGTGGCATTCCTACGGCTTTCTATAGCCAAGAAGACACATACGCGGACTTAGGTCCAAACGTAAGTATCCATGTGTCAACTCGCGTCCTTAATCGGGTGAGGATTACCTCTCTTCTAAGAAACAGATCTTCGAGGGCATGCAAATTTTTTTGTATTTTTAGCATCAGAGGGCCGAACGGCAGTTAAATATGTAGGTTGCGATATCTAGTTCTTACCCGTCTCATTTTTTTCTGTTACCTTTCAGACTTACGTGTCCGGCCATGGAGACAATAACCTACGTTTTGCCGAGAATATCTAGTAC